CGCCAAGGGGCTGCGAGACATTTATACAGCCGTATTTCGCACATGACTATGAAAGGCGGAAGAGGAAGTAGTTCCTTTGAATGTAGACAATCCGATTGTTATAGTTTCTTTCCGCTGTGTTGCTGTTAATGATAAACTACAAATTTACCCTAAATTACTAAAAATATTGATATTTTAATGTGAGAATCGATTCTAGAACATAAATGACTGGTATCGGAGGAATCGATATTTCAGGATCGATCCGCACATCACTAGTAGCCATATGTCGCATAGCTGAAAGCGGCCGATTCGAGTATGACATGTGGCTCTTTTGTTTGTTTGTTTGTTTTAACTCAATTTCCATCTGGGATTAATAAAGTTTCTCTGATTCTGATTGCCGGAAATCCAAACAAGACATAAGAGGCTCTAATGTAAGCGTCCTGTTAATGTTGGTGGTGTCAGTTACACAATGGAGCCAGAGCCAGCATAACAGAGCCAGCATAACAGAGCCAGCAGTCCATGGGCAGGAATGCATTTATTACTTGGAATTTCTGACACCATTTCATAAGAAGAATGGGATGGGCGAAACTTCAGTGTCTTCAATCTATTATTGCTGTGTGATTTTTATTACTATTAATGAAGGCTACTCACCACCGAGCTGGCATTAACTGAGGTTCATTCATAGATTGCAGACTGTTAGGCCGTTTCTAAATACTCATGTACGCAAGTCCGTACTCTCGTTTTCGCTTGTCCGAACTTTGTAAGTTCACACGGGAGTCTGGACTTCCCAAAAGCGCAGCGCGATCGTTCCACAATTGGAACAGCAGTGTACTTGATGACATCACAGCTCTGGTGCTTTTACTGCCACCCCCTCTTAATTTAACTGTGATTAATATTTGCAATGGAAATTACACATGACATAAACAAATTAAACATGATTATACAGTGAATTTCTTGAAGAAAAAAAAAAGATAATTTGATTAAATTTGAATTGAACAAATATTTAAAATATAATCTGATCATTTTTGGAGCAACCTTCAGCATCTCCACGTAATAATTACTGATATTACTGATACAGAAAGAGTTTTCTATACGAGATCACTGCAACACGTGCAGCCTTACCTAATGTCCACCCTACTGTTACTCATTTTATATTAAGATTTAAAAATCTAGTTGGTATTGGTATGGCAAGTAGCCTTCAGTAATAGTAATAAATGACACAGCAATGGTACATTCATGTAGTTGTAAAAAACATGACAATATATTAAGTAATCCAAAGTATTCAGATTACGTTACTCTCATTGAGTAATTTAACGGAATACGTTACAAAATTATGGGGCATGTATTCTGTAATCTGTGGTGGAATACATTTTAAAAGTAACCTTCCCAACACTGCTCTTAATAGCTGCAAAATCAAATAAATAAATAAAATTCTACTGCACTGTGTAGTAAATGACAAACAGTGTAGCATCCAGTCGAACTGAGAAGGCCAGAACTGATGGTTGTTGAATGACCTTTATTATTCCTTGCCGTGTATCAGACAACGAACCAACGTAAGAGCTAGACAAACAAATAAAACAATTACCATAGTTACAGAGGCGATTCCCAACCCCCTGAGCCACAGTCGCCCTCAGTAGTCCTTCTCTTCAGCATTGGTGAGCTTGGTATTGTCACAACATCTTTCCATCTGCAGAATTGTATTAGAGGAGCCATCTAGCTAACTTCAGAGCATATCAGCTGATAATAAATATGCTTTTTATAGCTTTAGCCGAAATTAACTCTCTGTGATGTTTGTGTGTCTAGAATGTTGGATTAAACGTGGCAACAAACCTGCTGCTCCGAATTCCTCATTGTCTGAGTTTCCTGGGAAGGACTTATCACTGGCAACCTTGTAAAATCTTTATGTTTTCTTTTCCTTTTAAATTGCAAATAATAAAAACGTTGGCAAAATCAAAGAAGAATGTCACCGCTCTTCTTTATTCAGATTCAGTATTTATAGTTTGTTTGTTTGTTTGTTTTTAACCATTCTACAGTATTTGGGAGTCCTGGAGGATCTGGAGGATTTCTTTTACCAGAACTACCACAGATGAAAACCGTCCGTGCTTTCTTCCCAGAGACTTGGATATGGGACCTGGTGGAAGTTGGGTATGCTGTTTTTTGTTGGGGGTTTTTTCAGTAGGGTTTTGGGTTTGTTTGTTTTTTCAAAGCTATTTGTTGATCATGACATTAACTGACATTTAAATTAGTAAGGGAAAAATAGTTTGTGTATATATAGGGACATTTATGGATCCATGCGGATGTTAACCTGTTTTCATATTTAGAATTCTTCTCAGAATTTAACATTCCTAAGAATGCACTGTTTTTGTTGGCTAATCTAGGTAATGTAGCTATGTTTTACCATCTGAAAATTTCCATATTTGTAAATCTGCTGATTCAGAGAGTCTGGAACAAAGGATGTGTCCCTCACTGTCCCTGACACCATTACCAGCTGGGAGACGGAGGCTTTCTGTTTGTCCTCTCAGGGTTTTGGTTTGGCTCCTCGAAAAGAATTTAGGGTCTTCCAGCCCTTTTTCCTCGAGCTCACCTTGCCCTACTCCATCATCCGGGGGGAGCACTTTGAACTGAAGGCAACTGTTTTCAACTACCTGACAAGTTGCATCATGGTGATCAATGTTTCTATATCAGCTAAATAAATATGTCAAAAAATGTCAGCATGCTGATAGACTTTACAGATGATTTTGTCATGAACCAAAGTCCAAGTAGTAATGAGAAATCTGCATCTTTAAGCTCGGCTCACTAAAGAGAGCCGGCTCTTTTGGCTCCCAAGCGACTCTTCAGGTTGTTTTGTTGCTTTAATTAATTTATTATCAAAAACAATATAAAATTATGCACAAAATGAATTACTAATGTAAAAAAACACATTTTTATTAAAATTTGTTTATTACATATATAGTTTATATAGTCAATTGAAATGTTTTCAGATTTTCCTTTTTTCCTTGGTGCCTCTCATTTTATTTACAATACCTTTTGAATGTGTCAATGTTGTCTCTTGTTGTTGCCCCTGCCTCTCTTTCTCTCTCTCCCTTCTGTTCTGTTCGTTTGCTATTGCTGCTGCAAGTGTAACTACCACCTCTCCCCCTCTTCATCACGTGCTGCATGAAGCAAAAAAAAAAAAAGTGAGAGAGAGAGAGAGAAACATGCCTCCCAATAAGGAACCGGCTACCGTTCACTTTAAAGGGCCGGCTCTAAGAGCTGTTTCGTTTGTGATCGACCCATCACTAATACCAAGTGGCCACCATAATTATAACAATAAAATGGTTTATTTACAAATGTTTATAAGACATATCAACTACACAAGACATGGAACATAGACGAGACAGCGACAGACTAGACATGAAGAGCAACAAAGAACCAACAAGAACTGAGAACTAAAAATAACTCAGATGCACAAGTCAAATCTGGAACTCAATTCTAACTAAAACAACCATTTCAGTCCAAATACTTTCAAAGAAATAACAAGTCCAGAACAAACCCACCCAAAAATGGCTTGAAGACCCAGCGCCATGACAGTAGTAGTGTACACATTTCCCTAACAAGTGTCAGGAAGGGTATCCAGTGTAAAGATATACAAAATCAAAACATCTTATGTGACCCTTTGTGAATAAGGGAGTAGCTGAAAGTAGCGTTTTGGTTTGTCACACTTGGTCTGATGTTGTTTTCTATGAATACAACTTCTGTCCTCACAGAGTAACAAGAAAACACTGAATTCCTCTTTGACTTAGAAACTCAACTCACTGTTTTGTTCTTTGTGCAGGTCACGGTCTTTGCTACGCCTTCCTCAGATTATACCCTCACCCCTCTTTCCGGTGAGCAGTACACATCCTGTTTGTGTGACAGCGAGCGCAAGACTGTGAGCTGGACCATGAATCCAACAGTTTTAGGTAAGGATCAAGTTTTTATCCACGCCGGTGTAAATGTCCTTTCAGTCAATGCCTCTTCTCTTTTCAGTATCTACAAAATCAGTGAGATTATCTAATTAACAATATTTTAATGTGCAAGACTTTACAGGGTTGAGAAAAATGATGTTTGTTGTCCTTTTTTAGGGGCTGTGAATGTGACCGTGTCTGCTGAGGCAGTGCCATCCCATGTTTCATGTGATAATGAGGTTGTGAGAGTACCAGAGAGAGGCCGCATTGATGTGGTCACAAAATCCTTCATAGTAAAGGTTGGTGCCATTAACACAGGATGACAAAGATTCTGCGTTTGAAATATTTCTTTCTCATGAAAGATTTTCTCATAACTTCTTTCTTCTAAGGCTGAGGGGACTGAGATGACAAAGTCATCCAACTGGCTGCTTTGTCCAAAAGGTCAGTGTATTTTCTGCCAAACAAAACAGCCAAATATTTAGAAAAAATGATCAAATAAACTTATAAACAAACTGAATGGTATGCCCTGAGTTCAATTTCCTTTATCTTACCAATTTGTTATCAGTTCCTGTTCCCATGGTTTTCAGATAATTCTTTGTAGTTTAACACTTTACTGGTAACTTCAGCGTCCCACCTTTTCCCATACTTACCACACAAATAACTATGTACTATACTCTTATCTGGAAATGGGAAACATTACAATGCAACAAGATCTTTAAGTTGAACCAAAAGTGTTTACTGAGTGATGTGTAAAAACCAAATGCAATTAGTAAATCAAACAATCACTTGCAGTATCAAAATTCAGCAAACCACAGTCCTAAAGTTCTTTATAATATCCTTCACTTTACCTTAATGGGCCCCACTCACACACACTCACACACCAACCCAAAGTCCCAGGCCTGGATCGCTGCGCGTGGTCGTGGAAACCAACGGTCCTCAAAACAAAGCAAACAGGTGCTTCTTCTCTGCGAAGGCACCTGGCCAAGTTGAAGCAAAACTGCCTGCCGCATTGTCCTGGAAGCTGCAAATCCAACCAGCTGGGTCTCTAGCCTGGCCAGTCTGAAGTCTTAAGCCCCGCACAGTTCTTGCTGTAATTCGTGGCCATTGGAGCTAACTCTGTCAGCCTAGTCAGCTAGCCACTAACTAGTTTTCTGGGCAGAAATACAAGGCTAGTCTGAGCTGCACTAACTCATATTCTACCTTGCTCCAATCCTTGGCCTTGGACACGGGATGGGTTTTGCACACCATCCCTCACAAGTGTTCTAGCTGATGCTAGCCACATCCAACCACCATCTCACTCCGGTGGGGGGGGGCCCTCGTGCCACCCCCCCCACCGCCTTTTCTCTCCCTCTCTTTCTCAGCTTCCTCTTCCACTTGACCTCTTCCTCCAAAATAAAAGCACCTTAACGACAACAAACGTAATAATTTCCACTAATCTGAATATACAAAAATGAACTAATAGAACTATTCATATATACATGTACATTAGAAACAAAACTTAACCCCTCTAAATATCTTTGGGCTACACTTACCTTGGAAAATAATTTCTCATCTTCCTCTTCTGTCTCATATTTCTCATTTGAAAAAAAATGCATTTAAAGTTACCTGCCATTAAAAAACCATTATTCCATTTATGCTTGCACCTCTTCTTCACCGATAGCTAGTAACGCAACTGCAACTTTATCTAGCCTATGTTGAATGAATGCATCGCAGGAACAAAAAGAAAATGTGATGTGAGGAAGTACAATTTTAGTTAAAAGATTATGTACATTCACCATGGACATGAGTGTCATGGTAGGTTTGGGCTTTAATTTATTCATTTGAACTGCTGATATTTTAGACTTGAATGATTGCAGGGCACACATATCTTTAATTATTTTACAAACAAGACTTGGGTGCACACGTTTATCTGTCAGATTTTCTCTAATTTATACAGAATCAAAATATATACACCCTCAAACATATATATATACATGTACGCCCACAAACAGTGGCTAAATGTCCCTTGTCAAGTTACGCCTTGACCAGATGCCTTTGCATCAACAAAATTCTTGTATAACTCTGGCTCAATATTTAGCCACTCTTCTTGGCAGAAGTGATTGGTTTCCTGACCTGCACCTGGTTTGTAAGAGTCGCCAAATTTTCAAAAGGGTTGAGGGTGGGGCTTTGGTAAAGGAATCCCAGAAGCTCAGTGATAGCCTGCTTCATCCATTCCAAAATCAATTTTGATGTGTTTTTGGGATCGTAGTCCTGTTGGAACACAAAGTCGTTTCCAATATGAGCAGGACAGATGGAACAATTGACGGAAAAAGTGTGGACTTTATACCAGTTCTTAAATTGTGTTGATCGGCCACGTAAAACCAGAGTTATGATAAAAAAAATATATGCAATGTTTGTTTTTCTTCCTGAATACTATCGTTGTTTATATTTACTGCGGGAAGAAACGGTAAAAACTGCGTTTTATAAAGAAAACGCTCGAAAGCACTCTCCCCTGGGAGCAAATACAAAACCAAAGCACCCCCACCATTTCCCATAGGTCAAAAAATGTACCATGTCGACCAATCAAAACATGGCATTTAGTTGTTTAGGAAGAGTGGAAGTTTTAGGAGTGACGGCGGTGTTTTGACATGTGAGAGATTTGTGACGTTTAGCCCTACTATTGTAATAGCTGTGGGAGTCTTCTAGTGGGTTTGTGTTGTTAGCGGCAGCCATTCCATGCTGCTCGTGTTCCATTGTAAAAGAAAACCTTACCGTTGTGACGGCCTGGCGCCGGCGTTACCCATCTCCACGCATGTATGCACGGACTAATAAGGCCGTGGAGATCTGGCTCGTAAGGTGTAATGTTGCTGACAGCGAATAAAGCTCTGTTATTGGATTTAACCGACTGGCTTCGGGTTATTCAGCTAACCCCCACACCACACCCTCGCTGGACCTGCTAGCCGCTCCTTCCTCGCCAGACTGCTGTTACAAGTGTATAGTCAATAGTTTTGTTGTGTGTGTCAGAACAATGAGGCAGCTGCTGAATGTTACAGGTGTTACAGGAGTGATACATCTCCTGCTATCAGGCCTGCAGGTATCAGGCTGTTGTTCTCCTTTATCTCATAGTGGACAGAAATTATTTTTTGTGGCACAAATAATTTGTGTGGCATCAGATTTGATGCAGAACAGCTGATTGTTCTGTAAATAGTTTGAAATGTTTGTTTAAAAAAAACGCCTTGGCAGCATTTTTAGGTAAACAGCTGCACAAAACTTTGTTGTTTGCATAACTCAGTTACTTTTTTGAAGAAGTAACTATATAATTAATTGCCCAACATTGGTCATTATATACTGTATTTTGCAGACAGAGAGTTACAGGACTCTCTCCCAGACCACAGACTCAAAATACAAGTCAGAGCTTTATAATAAAAAAAAAAAGAAACTTACACAGGTCATGAACAATATTTTTCTTACATTTTCATTGTAAGTGGGCTAAAGTAGTCTAAAATTAGTCTAACATAAATGTAAATGCTGTTATTTGATTATTTTAATAAACCATGTAACTTGGATGGATTTGATGCTGGCGTGACCACAGTGCACACATCTAATGTTGTTGAGTGTTTGCTCAGACACATGAAAAATTAGGGGGAACATTGGTCAGGACACACCCCTGCGGGGACACTGTATGTATTGTGCTTGATTTGTTCTGTCCTCCCTGGACAAACTGTCCAATCTCCTCACAGGTTGACCACATCTTCCCTGAAAAGTGGTCTGAATAAACTTAAGACACTGAAGCTGTTTCCGTGTGAAAGTTGAGTTTTCATTTAACAACATGCATGGCCATTCACCACGGAACAGGAAGTTGTTGTTGAGAGGCTATTAAAGCTTAAAAAGTTACAAAACTTAGTACACACCTCAGACATGATGAAGATGATGTTTTATTGGTCCTACTAGTGGGCAGTGTTGGGGAGTAACAGAATACATGTACCGCCGTTAC